TCCGACACGAGTCCTAGTCGTTGCGCTGCGGTCCGTTTCCCGGCTTCGCTTGCGCGATTTTCACTTCTGATTGGTTCCATCCATCCCCAACCCTAATGAATCGAGTATGAAGGGGTCAAGCGGTTCGGGTTTTCGGTCGGTTCCCGTTCACCTTCCCCCTCAGAGTCCATTAGTGGGTAGGGTGGTAAACTTAGAGGCCGCCGGCCTCCTCTTCAGACGTGTCCTCGACAACCTGGCGGTTCTTCGGTCTCCGCTTTTGGGGGCGGGAGTGCTTGGTCGCTGGGCTTTCCTTTTCCTCAACCAATTCGGTTGTGTCAGCCGGTCTAACATTTTGTTATGGGCTGGCTTGGCTGGACAACGATGGATTGAAGGTAAGATAGATTTGAGTTCAAGTGGCACAGGACCTTCGATCTACCATAGGGTAGAATACTACCGAATTCATTCTATTGAAGCGTAACATTTCATTTCCTGTTGCATTTCTTTGGTTTGGAAGTTCCAGAATGTTGTCTGTGGATTTCTAGCCCCCTATATTATATGCCAAAAGATTGATTCAAGTTCCGTGCTGCTCACCACTCCTCGAGGCCAAGGACGGGGTCGAACCGTCATTCCAGGATTTGCAGTCCGATACATTTCCATTATGTTACCTAGCCAAACCCGCCACCTCATGTGCCAAAGTAAAACGGTTGTTCTTCCTTCCCCGCTCCCTCTTTTTCGACATATGCGGCGGCGGGTTACCAGATAAGAGGGGACAACTTCTTTCTCCTTTGCATTGCTCAATCTTCCTTTTCTGATTGAAAATAGCAAGCCACTCCACTACTGGTACAGAGGCCAGATAGAAGGTTGCTTATATGTTCAGGCTCGAAAATCTATCTTTTACCTCTCCTCCCTGTCTCCATTCTGATTGATTCGCTTCTTCCTTCGCGCAAGCCTTTGGTTCGCCCCTTGTTGTGTTGCATTTTCTGCTCCTCCGCTTCAGTCTGCCTTCTTCGGATAGCCGGGGTCCGACGTTGATTTCCGATTTCAATGTCAGCTCCAGGTTTTGGGCGGCCCATCTGGTTAGTTCAGCTATCACTGCTGGAAGCCCCTGCGGTTGTTCGGCTGCGTACTCCCCGTCCGCCTATCTCACACTCCCAAAGCATCTTTTTCTTTCATATTTCATTTTCCTTCGCCCCCTTTCAAGCGCCCTTAGACTCGTTACGTTGTTCGACTGAACTCGTTGGCTCCGCGCTCTATTCGGTCGGAACCCGGTTCGTCGAGAACCTTCTCTCATAGATTCCCTTCACCAAGTCATCGCCAGCAATCCGCTCTTATCCCTTGGTGTCAAAGGGCGAGTTCCTTTCTTGTCTTGCCCAAAAACTTTCTTTATTCTCATTGGAGAAAGACTCTCCCTCTACTTTCTTTGACAGGGGCGGAGAATACCACTCTATCAATAACAAGAAAAAAGTAGCAATTCCGTTTCAAATGGTTTGAGCTTGGAAGCAACCTGCTATCTATCGATAGGCGAGAACAGACTGCTATTGGCTGCTTCGCCTATCGATTCTATTATGGCCGGCTTGGATACATCAGAGGAAGACTATCATCTCTATCCGGGTACGATCATAGCATAGCTTCATTCATTCGTTGAACCTTGGGGATAACCATTAGCATTGAGGTCAATCACCACACCACCTCTATCATACATACGACATTACACGACGCGAGAGTGCATGGCCAACACACACCTAAAGCGCCTACGTTCCGCTTGCAGCCAATACAACCACAACCTAACTTGCACGAGATTCAACAACCGAAGCTACTGGTAGTCCCGAGGGGACGGAATCCTCCAATAAGAGTTAGCAGTACTGAACAAGCGAGTCATCGGTCCGGGGAAAGAAAAGGACTGCCTTTGAAAAAAGAAAAAAGGAACTCGCTTAACTCGCTAGGCCTTCGGAACAAAGGCGATTCTGTTCATGCTTCAGACGATTTGGCTAATTATATAGACTTCTATACTAATTATATTAGACTTCTTCTATTATAAATAGAAAGGCGAACCTATAGGCCTGTTTAGCGCCTTTCCAAAGTAAACCTAAAAAAAACCTTTGCTTTGGGAAGTCAGGACCGAGTGAAAAATGAAAAACGTCCGCTAACGCCCACGGGAGAAGATCTTTTTTAGATCAGCAACGAATGTCTTGTATCTATGAAGAAAGATTTATCCCTGGGTTAAGACCCTGAATGCCATACCTTGCTGAAGGCGATTCACGAGAGAATCGCGCACAGTTCCCTTTGACCGAGATGTGAATGCCCATGATTTGCTCGGTATAGTGATGGATTTCATGGCCGACGTCTAACCGGCACGAATACGCTATCCTAGATGGAAACGACTTCCCCGCGGAGCATTTTCTCTTTCGTCCTCGGACGTTCGGACCTTTTGTTTGATTCCGGCACTTGCGTTCTCATGCCCGGAACCCTCGCGACTGATTGGGAGAAAGAGCGAAAGCGAGAAAGATGGATTGTTATCCATCGGAAATCGATAGGAATTCCACGGGGATTGCCTTCTCTTCTAATATCTATATATGTTTTTATTTCATTATTAACATCCAATCCCATGCTAATAAGAAAAACGAGCGATTGCTAGTCAGCTTTCATTTTCTTAAAAAAAAATGGTAGGGACTGAGGCTCTGAAGGCTTTACAACTTTCTTCAATTAGGGAATAGCGCAGATGGATCAATCACGCGGTTCTGCAGCGTCCTCCAACTCGCTGTCCGCGCCCCTTCACTTTCTTTGCTGGACGGGAAGATGCGAATCGTGAAGGCCTTCCCACCACGCGAAGTTCAAACCTCGCCGGAGAGGAATTGAAAACCGGAAAAAAAGCCCTTCGCAATCGAAGGTGAAAGCGGGAAAAAGACGACGAAAGCCTTTTTTCTTTCTTTTTCAGCCGACTTGAAAGGTGCTCTCAGTGTACCGCCATACGCACCCAGACATTAGACCAAGCAGGAACCGGGGATCAAAGTTCCATTGATTCATCTATCTCAAATAGGGAAAAAACGGAATCAAGAAGGGGTCAGCTGAGCTCGAAAGGGGTAGCCGGTCGTCGGCTAGGAGCTCTGGCCGGCAACGAAACTAAAGCTTCACACTGGTCCACTCGTCCATCGGCTAAGTTCCAACTCTATGTTGATAAGAAAAAAGAAAATCCCCTAAGAAGAGGACTTTCAACTATTCCAAAAGAAAGGGGCAATTAAAATGCTTCATAGATAACCCCCTATGTCTCTTCCCGTCCAACTCACCGGGAGATCGAAGAGCGGTTTGCGCTTCGCGCCCCAACCCCCTTAACTAATGGATGCTTAGATACCTGCAACTGAATCTGTAAGCGGCGCAGGGCAGGATGGACGAGAAAAGCGGCGAGAAGAAGACAAAGAGAGGGAGACCCCTTTCTATTGCCTTCCCTTTCGACTTCTAGACTGGTTCGTCGGTGGGACAGCGAGCCAAGATCCGATTCGTCAATCGGCGAATCCATGCCGCGTAACCTGGCAAAGGGGAAAGAGACGATGGCAACGCACCTCATACAAGAGGGGGGGAGTCCGAACAGCCTTGTACGTACGCCGCTCACGCGAAGAAGTTATTCTCTAATTCCAAAAAGTAAAGCCTTATTTGATTTGCTGACAGTTGCCCCTGATTATCTTGTTCATTCCTTCATGCCGGGTCTCTCATCCATGCATGATCGGCAATGCCTCACCTTCTCCTTCGATTCCAACTAGGCAAACAGAACTCCCGGAACTTCCTTTCTTGATTCACCCAGAACGGAACTTGCTCTAATCCCGATCCACATTCCATAGCTTCTGCTTTCGCTCCGCACCTTTATAAAGTCGTTTTCAAGCCGCTAAGTGCACTAGCGGACTTCCCCTATGAGATTGACCCTGCTGGGATCACTGAATCTTCTTCCATATCATCCCATCGCTTCATGCCTTCGACTGAGACCTATCTGCTTCATTCCCGAGTTTCACTTCACTTGGACACAGCCAAAGAGGACCAAAGGGGAGAGGGCATTACTGAAAGTCCGAGAATAAACTTTTCCTTATAATAGAAAAACCTCTCTTTCCTCCTATGGGTGAATTGGACCAAGGTCAGTGCTTTCGACTTCCCTTGAAAGGACAGTTTACTTTATTGCGTACTTCTTTCCACCCTGAGAAGGAGATCCTTTGAAAAGTGCCTAGAAACTCTTCTTCATACGCTTATTCTCTGACCGTACCATGCAACAAGAGTTCAAACCTATTCTTTCTAACGCAACGAGCTTATTGAATGCCAACAAATAGAAAGCCAAAAGCTCTAGTCCCATCTCTTTCTGTTATGGAATTGGATAGTGACTCATATGAAATAGCAGCGGATTCAATAGCATCGGCGAGAGAGAGAGAATTCCTATTGAGGGGAATAGGATATTCTAGAAAGGAATACATCATTCTCGAAAAGGTCGAAGGAAGCTCCAAGCAAGAGATATTATTCACTAAAAGCAGCTACCGGGTGAGAATAAACAACTACCATTTAAGCTGACAGCTAGACGGATTCACCACTACTTATGACTTCTTACTCCTGCTCCTAGACAAACTAAGAAGCAAGGAAAGAAGTAGCTCAAGGATAATGCGCGAGTCACTCGTAAGTTAGTTAATAAGGCACGCTAGGAGGTGAGCTAGCAGAACCAGGGGAAAGGAATGCGTCACTTGTTGATTAGCAAGAATCTCTGACGGCTAGCTTCCCTTGTATCTTCTCCCATGCATCAACCATGAATCACTACTCTCTAATGCTCTCTTCACTCCTTTAAGTCACTGACATTTCCTGTTCTTAGCTCGGATTAGCAGGCTTGAATCATTCAATCATATAATCATGCCTCCAGAGTGACTTAATTTCACATTCTGAATATTGGATTACCTGTTAGCTACAACTCACATCTGCTGTTAGCTTCTTTAAGTCTTCTCTTTAAGTCCGATTGCCTTCTCAATCCTAATAAATGACGGGATGAGTTAAAGCACTATCAGACTGAATACCTTTTCTTATGAGTCTTCCATGAACTCAATACCAACTCTACTTATCCTTATCTGGTATGCCTTCGGCTTCCTCAGGGGCTACTACTTCCTGGGAAACCTTTGGCTAGGATCCTAGAAGCAACTTCGTCAACACCGTCTCAGTCTGTGTTAGAAAAAGGAAAGGAAGCGGGGAAGAGTTTAGCAGCAGGAAACTAGGGCTAACTCGGGATGTTAGAAAGGCCCTCTCTAAGATAGCACACCCTGATGCCTAACATCCTACTGCTGGAATCCATTCCACCTGTCCTAATCTATTCTTACCTTCAAAGAACAACAGCATAGTAAGATAGGTTGAAGCTGTTGGGGAGATAGAGGCTAAGACTACTCAATCTTTATCCTCATTGGACTCAAGGAAAAGGAGCTAACCCGGATGCAAATCCTAGAAAACTAACTAACCTCGGTAAAGGAAGCCAACTTCCGAAACTGCAGGAGAATTGGGACCCTTGCTTCGCTTCGCACCTCGTCATAGCCTTGAAAAGCTCACTCGGAGTTATAGTTAGAGAATGGGATATGATTAACTACTTGCCTACTGCTACCTGGGAGTCTTTCCTCGGGAGATCGAAGAAGGTATACTATTAGACAAGGTTCATTCCTGCTTAGCTGCTTTGCTGCTCTTCTTCTTTATCAAAGATAGCTATTCCTCTGCTTTGATGCTTTCTGTACCTTTATGGGACTTACAGTAGAATAAAGGTCCCGGACCTCATCCACGAGACTAACCAAGTCTCATGATCTAGGGATCACTCCCTCGATGCCAACCTAGAGAGATGGGTAGAAACTAGCTAATAGTACTGGGTGCCTTACCTATCCTACATAAGAGTAATCCACATTAGCAGTGGGGTAGAAAGGTCATCCTGAATATGAAGAAAACAGAAACCGTTGTCTTCCCCTAAAGTAATCGTTCGTGTGAGAATAAGTAGACTAGTGATTCAATTGAAAAAGACCTGACTCCCTCAGATTGTACATCTCAGCTTCACAAGATTCTCTCTCTAAGAGACATGATCAGAAAGCAGTGACGAGGGGTCGGGGAAGATGCAAAGAGCAGAAATGACGACAACAGCTTTTCGATAGGCCTATGCACCATCTTCATTAGAAAGGGCTGCAGAGGCCTATCTTTGGGCGTTAAAAGAAGAGTTTCGTCCCCGATATAGTTTCAAGGGTACGCACCTAGTCGCTGCGAGCCTAAGATCAAAGGCAGTTCCAAAAACAAGTTCCCCATTTACAGCTTGAGAAAGGGTAGTGGTAGGGAAGTCTCAGTCCCAATTCGTTCTCGAGAGTCCCTGAAGCAAGGAAGCGTCTCTTTCCATAGCCCCTAATGGGGTTGGTTTTGACCCGTAAAGCTAGGCTCGATGTAATTGAGGCGAGTAGGGCTTTAGCAGCTTTTTAGATGTTATAGATAGCGGTTGAAGTTGAAACGGAAAGAAAAGTATGTACGAGCGGAAGTTTTCATGCCAGCAAGTGCCTTTGTTTCGGGAAAGGCCAATACCCTTCTCGTAGTGTATAGTGGGGAATCCAGTTGAAGCTATACCGTAGTGGAGGTAGAGTTTAGTAGGCCTAGTTCCCTCCTCCCCATTTCATAACAAGTATAGCCAGCTCCATTGCAAGCCCGAACTTGTGTACCCGGAAATCAGTCCAATAATAAGCTAGCAAACCAGCTCCTGTCATGTGCGATAGTCCCGGAAGTAGTAAGCCAGCTAAGAAGTCATGCTTCTAGTCCGTTAGTGACAGTAGGAATGCCATTAAGCCAGTAGGAGTTCAGTAGCTCCTCCCCAGTCGTGTTGAATAAGCTGGTGTTGGAGGGATTTAGAGGTTACTCTTCACTTAAGAAGTCATTTCGTCAGTCAGCAGTTTAGCCCGAGGTTTGAAATGGGCAATCAGCTTCATTCCTCACTCGTGCTGTAATCAGGCTTAGCGACCTTCCATCTTTTATAATCTAGTTGTTGGTGCAGTTCCTCTCTTTCCTGTCTCGCCCCTGGGTGTAGTTGATCTAAGAGCCCTAGTTCTTTCGTTGAGGTATGAAAGTAGAAAGGAAAGGTGAGCACTCTTGTCTTTCAAAAGGAGTAGCGGAAATAATTAACATAGTCTAGATGAGGCTCACTTGGAAGATCCCGCGCCGGGAGCGATAGCAGAGTTGTTTAGTCCAGTTTTTGGCCTTATCTTTCTTACAGGTGGCGACAACGTCGAGTTGCTTGGTTGGCTAAGGAGGCGGAGAAGAGATCAGACCGTCAGTTTTATCCACCGATAGCGAGAGGGGCAGACATGTCTCCACTCACTTAATTAAAGGTGAAGGTGCGCCCGATACAAGTACCGGATTTGACTGTCTAACTATAGCCAAGAGACCCATGCTTCCGGGTCCAAAGGCAGAGGCAGGTAGAGTCCTCGTCGCAGCGCACTAGTTAGTAGGTGTGATCCAAGACCAGAATGATAAGGGAAGGGGATTAGCCGGGAATCC